GGATGGATGGATGGATGGATGGATGGATGGATGGATGGATGGATGGATGGGATAGGTTACTGAAAATGTCAAATAGAAAAGCAAACTTACAATGTTTGATGTTTCTTACATATCTCGAAACGGAAACCATTATATGATAAATAACTATGATGGTTGAATTGAACATGGAAAAAATATATCTAGTTGTATTTGTTTCAATAATATTTTGATCGTTTTGGCAGCTAGTTTTTCAGTGAAGCCAGCAGTAAAGAACAATTATCTGTATTTAATTCATATTACATTTTACTATTAAAAGTTGAAATGGTAATCAAATCATATTTCTGTGTCTGTGGCCTTAAATTAAGAAGCTGCCACATACAGGTTGTTCGCTTTGACTCAACAGTTGACCGATCAAAAAGATGAAAGCCATTTTGGCTGACTACAGAATCATTAGCAGTCAGTGCAACAGCTTCCTGCTCATCCAAACAATAAACAGTTTGGCAACAAATTGGACCACATGGGATGTTTTAAGGATACGAGAGTTGTTCATGCGTTGAATAATTTATCATGTGAATGAGTCAACTTCCACCCCGGTTTTGGCATCCGTGTGTGTGTGTGTTTGTGGGTGTGTGTGTGTGGGTGTGGGGGTGTGTGAGAGGGGAAGCAGATTGACAGTTGATTTTCAAATCTCTTCACGAAGCTAATTTGTTCAAAACACAGAGAAAAAAGATTTGTCTCATTACAACACGTGTTCAAAACCAACAATCACCTTTGAGGGCACTGGCATTAACTCTTTGTCTAAACCAGGGGTCAGAAATCTTTTACTTTCAAAGAGAAACTTTTGCCACTGCTGCTTAAAAAATAAAGTTAATCAAGGGCCATAACAATGATTTTTTAAATATTAAAACCCTTTTTGATACTAAGATTTTCCATTGTTTCTATTTTAAAAGGAAAAATATAATTATATCTTAACAACAGAAAAAATATTGATTTTGTAGAATAAAACAAGATAAATGATACACCAAAAATATGAAAGATAAGGCTGATTACCCCTCCTAAAATATAAAGCACATGGTTTAAGTTAAAAAAAATTACCTTCAAAAGCCTCATACCAATGATATTGTGCTATTTTAGATATTTAATGAAGATATTAAGCGAAGAAGATCCCTTTGTTATTGCGTTAATATGTAAACTAATCTTTTATTTGGTGTTGGTGGAGCCACATTGAAAGGGTAAAAGAGCAACAGGTTGCAGACCAGTGTTCTATAATATTGCAAGATTTTACAGGTTTTGAAGTTTGAACCTGGGTAACCAACACACTCTAAAACATGGATCAGACTGAGATTTGCATCCTTTTAGTACCATATTTGCGCTTTTGTCTTTTCTTTTACTTCAGCATGTGATTATGGAAAATGGACTTCACAATGAATAGGCAGATATTAAAGCTAGAGCTCAAATTCTTCAGTAGAAGCATGGGCTGTTACAAATTGTAGCTAAGGTAAAAATTTTGTTTAGTTGAAGTCATTTACTGTATCATTTCATCATTTAAGATCCATTCTCTATTACAGTATTGTTATGAGTCTGAGTTGAATGGGATGATTAGGCACTGTGCAAAGTTGTGGAGGTGTTGAAGTGTGTCTGTGTGTGTTAGACAGGGTAAGGAGCCCGGACAATGACGGATGAGAAGATGGATGTAGGGATTATCTGGGATCAACCATTGACTGTCGATTTTATGTCAAGCCCTTTGCCTCTCAGCTTTAGGCGTCAAAGTACTGAGGACTTTCTGGTTTTTGTGTACAAACAGGGAAGGACGTCTTTATGTGTGCATTTCCCCTAATGGTGCAGATGAGTAATGTTTTGGGGAAAAGAGAACAATGTAGATAAGAAATTTGAAAGGTAGTTCATGAAACAAAGCATAAAAGGCTGTTGGACATGTGTGACACCTTATGTTTAGTGAACAATTTTTCTAAAAATGAAGGATGGACATGGGAGAGAAACCATGTGGTGGATCAGTGAATAAAAAATATGAAATTATGACACCAACCACAGAGAAATGGAAACTGAAAATCAGGTGGTATTAGAAAAAAATCATGTCTGATGGATGAAAAGAGGAATTGATGCAACAGAAGACATCAGATAAAGGGCAAATTCTTATATCCCCCCACCCCCCTCAAATTAAAGCACAGGTTAAAAACACTCACCAACCTGCTTTTCTTGTCTGTGGATGAGCCACCAAACCCAACTACCAATCGTGGTCCAGGAACAGTTACTAAAAAGCCGGCAGGCGGCTGGAGAGAAGCGGTAGGGAAGAGGAAAGCAGAGCGCAGCAGCAGCTCCTGATCAAACAGGCAAAGCTTCTGGCTCAGACGAATGCAGCAGAGTAAAAAAGGGAAGAGGAGGGAAAAGGTGGAAGGTGCAACTTACACCTGGGTGAAACTCTTCCAGTTCACAAATCCAACATTTACTCCACATCCACCTGATAGATGAACTCTCAGCTGTTGATTTTTGAAAAGACACCACCAGCTGGTTCACACAGCTCCCTCAATGAGTGCTGTCGCAGTGACACCATCGGCTGCAAGGCTCCGGAGGCGTACGGTGCGAGAGAAGAAATAAGCATGCACAGACCTCTGGCACCTCCTCCCCCTACTCCTCGTTACCCCAGTTGTACCTCTGTCAGCTTTATCCTACTACTCAATCAAACAGATGAGAGGAAGATGGTCTTCTCCTGCGTCTTTGCCATTTTAATTCAGTTAATTTATTCGTGTGCTGCACTGCTTCACATTCTCTTCTCTTTCTCTGTCCTTCACTGTCGGACTGACTACTGCTCCACAGCACAGAGAAGCTGGACTGCGCGTTGCTCCCTCCCTCTCCTCTCTCTATGCTGCTGAATGTCTTTCTATGCTTCCTCACCCCCCTCCTTCAGTCACCCTCAAATCGTCCATGATTTCTCTTTGCTGGTCAACACCACGTTAACAACAAGAGGATTATGGCTTGAATCTGCATCACTAACAAATTGTTGCTATTAAGTGACTTAAAAAATCTAAACATGGTTATTACAATCCCGAATCTAATTTATTTTGCTCTATACAGTTAAATGTTTTAAAGTGTAAATGGGAAGTTAGGAATGAGAAATATCTCTTTAAAAGTGTGTTGCAGGAAAAACAATTGCAAAGTCTATTATGATATAGAGAAACTAGAAAAATAAGTAGATTTAAAGTGTTACAATTGGTTTTACTAGCTGTTATAGTGTAATGCAGCAAAAGGTGAAACTCCATAAACCATGATTTAGACTAAAAAAGCCACAGTTTTTGATTTCACTGATCTATTATGTGGGGGTGCCACCAGGGTGTGTTTTTAAGGCATTTTAGTTTAATATATGGCAATATTTGATAGATGACAATACTGTTGCAATGTGGTTGATTGCATTAAAAAGATACCCATGCCGAAACTGTTTTTATGTCATATCTGAAAGACAGAATAACACTTAACTTAGCCTTCTGGGAGATCACTAGCAAGAGGATTTTTCAGAACAGCATAAGCCAGCTGAGTGCATCAAAATTGGATGACTTCACACTAACCAAATGCATCCAGATTGTCCTAAAAAAATTCAGGGATGTTTTTCTCCCTGTAACTGACTTGGGATCCCTTCCACTTGTAGACACCAGCCTTATAATCCCATGTTGTACTTACAGAGTTTTGTAGGGACCAATCTAGGTGAATGTCTGCAGACTTGCATACGTTTGTTGGAGATCAGCCCTTTTTTCAGAGTAGTGCTGTTTCTCTGATTGTGACTGGCTGGATGTGCTCTCTTCATCCTCTGACATGGGAGCTGGCTGTGTGTTTCTGTTTCTATGTCTGCTTCTGTCTCCTTAAACCCCAGTCAACCTCGGTAAATGGCCGCTCATACTGAGTCTGGTTTCGCTTGAGGTTTTTTCCTGTTAAAATAGAGTTTTTCCTCTCTACTGTCGCTACAAGCATGCTTAGTGTGAGGGATTGCTTTCAAGTCAATGAGTTGATGCAATCAACTGATTTTCCTTAGATAGAAAACTTTGAATCAATTTGACTGTATGATCTGGTTGAATTGTAAAGTGCCTTGAGATGACGTGCTGTGAACTGGCGCTATAGAAATGCACTGAAATGAACTGAATTTTCCAAATCGAGGTAAAATGGGTGGAAACACGACTTTTAAGTCCTTAATGTTGGCTGACAAAACAAATAACTGCAAAAAATAGGAATTTATGAAAATATGTTTATTACAGGCTTAAAAAGCAATTTGAAAAGATAGTTTTAATCTGATAAATCAATGCCGCTTGAGAAAGCCTGTTCTAATGTACTGAAAAGGAATCCACATGTCCAATTCATTTTGTTGAGCATTTTTTGTCATTTCTAGTTTTGTAATTTCAAGAGATGTCATTTGCTGTGGTATTCATTTCTGTTTAGGTGCAGTAATTTCAAAAAGCATAAAATTGGTATGAAACGACTAAATCTCTAGACAAAGATGATTAATCAAATGACAAAGTCACACATTAGTTAAGGTAAACATAGGAAGAATTATTGCTTTTTCAGGAGAAGGATTTTCTGGTTGTCTGGAGAATTTTTAAGAACCCAAATGCAGAAGAAATAGAATGAGGCAGAGATGAGTTTTTCTGATTTAATAATGTTCCAAAGGGCAAGAGAAGCAAAATTCCCAAAACAAAATACAGAAAGCCCGGATCCTTGAAATGACATGGAAAACACACATGAGAGGCAAAAAAAAAAAAAAAAAAGATGAGGAACCAGCAAGAGGAGGAGTATAAATTGGAAACATAACAAAGACTAGGCTCATCAGCAGATTGGGAGCAGGTGTTGGCAGAAGAACCTAGAAGGGAGCTAGGAGAAGGAGACTGACACAAGAGGGCAACAGAGAGTAAACTAGAAGTACAGAAGAACTCAAATACAACCAAAAACAACTAGAATACCACAAAATGGAAATAAAAATAATGAAAACTCAAAAAGAAAATGACTAAAGCAGGGTGTTGGACAGGGATTGATATTTGGGGCTACATTTAAGGAACTGTTTCCTACAAATTAGACTGTAGACTGATAGTCTAGAAAGTAGACTGATCTAACCTATATGTCACAGTGCAATCAGACATAGAACGTTTTTATACCTGACATCAAAAATTACTTTAACATACCGGTAAATATCAAACCATTTTGGTAACTCTATACCTGCTGTTGAAAATTTCAATTTAGTCTTATTAGCTACTCCATGTATTTCTGCTAAAACATTTCATCATATTTTACTACTCTGTTGTTCACTTTTCAATGAAGATCATACTTTGTTTCAATAATCTAAAACGACATCTAAATACAGTTTTGAAGTATATAATTAAACAGTCCATGCATTTACATTGCAATATTGAGTTTGAACAATTTTTAAAATAAAAAAAAA